TGCAAGGATAATTCTGTCCTTTATGGTAACAGTGCAATTCTTGCTGCTCGTTCCGAAGTGTTCGAGAGGATGATTTTTACAGGAACAGAAGTTACTGGCAAGCAAATTTCGTTTTCAGAAGTTGAAGCATCATCAATGAAAATTATTCTTGAATATTTGTATACAGGAACAGTTTTGGAGAGGGACATTACGATCGATAATGCTCTCGAAGTCTTGCATACAGCAGATTTCTTTCAATTAGAAAACTTTCAAGACCTTTCAGAATTATACAAAAAGACGTGTGAGAAAAAAGAATATGGAAACAAATCACCCGAATTATTATCCAAGGCAGTTCAGTTAATGTCCCCTTTAGCTAATAATAGTGTTGTTGACTATTTAGTAGATTCAGTTGCTAAGATTCCTTTAGATTCTATTGAAATTGGTAGATTATCACTTCAAGGTTTGCAATGCTTATTATCAAAGAGGAATGAAGCAAGAACATCCACATCTAGCGAATATTCTGTTTTGCGATTTGCAATTTTGTCGGCTGCGAAAGAAGTATCAGAAGAAGCCTTTTCTATTTTGAATAAAAGATTGCCACTATGGAAAAAAGTAAAGGGGTCGCTTCAAGACATTGAAAATAATTATTTGACGGAGAACGAAATTGGCACATTAATTGCCGATGCTATAAATCCGGTTATAGATTATGTTAATTTTAGAAGAATTGATGGAATGATTCTTGCAAAAGTAATTGAGCCATTAGATATTATTCCAATCAATAAAATCACGGATTCATATAGATTTCAAGCCTGCAAAAAATATTTATCGCAAGAATATTATCGTACTCAAATTTATGATTTTAAATGGGATATAAACGGCCGTGGACCGAATATAAGTATTAGTGAAGACGGCTACACAATCAGCACTACTGAAAATATGGCTGCACATCAAAGTGTAAGAACAAATTATCTCATGAGTAATGGAATTTATGAGTTTCATGTTCTATTCGAAAAAGTTTGTCTTAATTCTTGGGTAGGTGTTTGCGATGAAGACCTTGATTTTTCTCATTTTGCTGGAGATCAACCAAATGGATGGATTTTAGGTACGAATGGGTGCTACTATCATAATCGACAATCTATTCAAGGAATGTCAGACTTCAGAAAGGATAATGCAAAAGTTATTGTGCACCTTAACATGAATGAAAAGACA